GTCATAAGTTTCAGCATAGTCTTTTCCCCTTATGGGTCAGGTTAAGCTTCATAAAACTTTCAAAATGCACTGCTATTTATGTTATATCATGATTTGCCATGGGGAAAGAGATCCTTCAGAAGAATCATTGTTGAGAAAGGAACTGCATATTTTCCCAACTGTTGCTGCTTGTTTTTGTGGAATCTGGAAATCATTAGTGGGAGTCATGATCCATTGCAACAGTCTTCCAAATTTTCCAGTTTCTATATTTCGCTATTCTTTCTCTAGTAGGGAGCTTGTAGATAATTATGCCATAAGCAAGGCCCCCAGCTGAACTGAAGTCCCCAAGCTATACTTAGCATGATGGTTAGTCCAACCTTGGAGCGTGAACTATTCAGCTGCATTTAGTTCTATGCCAAATTCAAAATCTAGGGATCTGATGAACGATGGTCATATAGCCAGAGTCTAGTGCCAGATGGCTCACTGTCTTGCTCAGGCCACAGTTTAGTAAATGTCTGTTTCCCCCTTTCACTGGCCGAATAAAATACCCTGGGCAACAAAAACGCACAACAGCTATAACATCATCATAGTGTGATCCTTTCTGGTACTGACACAAAATAAGCACTTAAAGTGCTTATCCAATTTAAAGTGCTTGTCTTGACATATAAAGCCTTAAGCAGCTTAGGACCCGGCTACCTAAAGGACTGCCTGCTCCTGCATGTATCTAACCCCCATTAAGATCTGGGCAAGAGGTCCTTCTGAAAGAGCCATGGGCACCTTAAGCAGGTACAAGGGACAGCAAATACAAGAAGGGCCTTCCCAGTGATGGCTGCCCCTCAATTATAGAATAGGATCCTCAAAGAAATTCACCTGGTGCCTATTGTGTTCTCATTTCAGCGCCAAACATATTTCTCTTCTCTAAGTATTTTGATAATTGATTTGAAATCTGTTATCCATTTTTAATGTTTCTGTTGTAATTTTATACACAATTGGTTTGATTATTGGTTGTTTTTAGTACTGGTACCATTGATTTTGGTGCCACCTAGAGAATCCTTTTTGGACTAGTGAGCAGCATATAAATTCAAAAATAAATAAAATATAAATAGAGCAACAATAGTTTCAACATCATCACCAAACATCCACCACAGTTCTAAAGAGGTTGTTGGTCAGCATTTTATGATTAAAACTAGGATGTAATTTTTGATACAATCTCTTACTTACACCTACTACATATATTATACACACTGCCACCTACTTGGCATGAATTTCTTGATTTCTCATTTGATTCCAGTTGTGATTCAAAGTTCTGGCACTGATATTTAAAGACCCGATCAGCCTAAGCGAGAGCATTTGAAAAAGCACCTTTTCTTGTGAACCTCTCTGCATCCTCAGAGATGACACCCTCAGTTACATTAACAGAAGGACAGACAACCTATATCTCTCAGGGTAGGGATACAGAATCTGAGGCCAAGGCCTACTTGGGGTCCTAATCTGACCTTAAGGTTTAGGTATCCCTGTTCCTTTTTCCTATGGGAGTCCCCCCCACCCCAAGTATGCTGGCCCCGGCATCCCACTGTCTCCAGGACCTTCACACAGCTAGCAAAGACATGAGAAGCAGTTACCCTCCAAATGGTGTGGGGTTCCAACAGAGTCAAAGAGAAGGAATTTACTGAAAAAAGGCCACACAACCAAGGTCCAATCCTGGGTTCTCAGCCAATGTTCATGAGAATCGAAGTCCAAAACATCTGGAAGCATGCAGGTTGTCACCCCGCCATTACCATGTAACTAGATGGTTTCCACCGGAAGTAATATCCAGACACCTGGTCCTTCACATCCCTGCATGACATATGGGAATGCTTAGTAAGTATTCATATCCTGATGCTGAACAATTCTGCTTCAACAGCCCCTACCTGTTTCAGCTAATGTGGCTTAGTGGATGTGGGAAAATGCAAGATCGACATATCAGGGCATGAATACTGGATAGCATTTAGGATGAATTCTGGAATGGCCCTAAAACGCTTGGAGAAGAACCCGTGATGCATGTCTCATCATTCTGAAGTCAGCCTACTGTCTAAAAGAGTAAAGCCTTTAGTGGTAGGCCTGCCTACTATGCAATTCCCACCTCAAAAACACTTATCCAACTAGTTCCCACATGGCCTTTTTCAGATTTATTAGGGCCTTTCCATTCTATAAAGCCTTCCATGTCTTTAAATCATTCCGCCTTCTGCCATGTGAGGCTGGGGCCCGTTCAAATCTTGTCTGCCTGGCTTATATTTTTATTTTTTTGGTTGTTTTTATATCATTATATTTCAGCTGCCTTGGAGGCCTTTGATGGGCAGAAGGGGGACATTAAAGAAACAAATAAAAGTACCAAATTTATCTATGTCATGTTTGTACAGAAAGCTAACTCTGTTCAGAGCTTCAGTGAAACTGCACATTGCATAGACGCCTAGAAAAATAGGTCAACATTTGCCTTCCCAGTTACTAGAAGTCAAATCTTTCCCCTTATGGGCAAATAACTGCCACAACCCTGGCCTCAGTTTATTCAAAGGAGGACGGGTGAATCTGGAGCAGGTCCAGAATGTCCAAGGTAGGGAAAGGGGAGGGGGATCTTTGCCAAGTAGTAAATGCGCAAGTCGTGCATATGAAGGTGTGAACAGAATATGTAGGCCAGAGGACACAAGCTACTCAGGGCCAAGAGGGGAGGCAGTCAGCGGTAGCCAAGCAGCAGATTACAGCGACATGAGAGTGGCATCCAAGGTCCAGTTTCTCAATAGTATCCAATCCAAAGGAGCGCCCTGCCCAGTTTGAACATACCAAAGCCTACTCGGCCCTTTTGGAGAATTTGGAAGCGTACAGAAAGGAAACCTAGAAACTAGCCTTGCCCTGTAAGGGTGAGGGCAGGGGTGCAGAGCCTCAGGCCTGAATCTGGCCTACCTGGGGTCCCAATTTAGCTCTAGGGTCTGGGGACTTTCTTATGGGACTTCTCCCCCAACGGTGCTGGCTCGGGCACACACTGCCTCTGAGTCTGTCACACAGCTAGAAGAGGCAAGATCAGCCAGCCGGAGAAGCAGGAGCACCCAGCAACTGGCTACTGGATGCTCACGAACAACTGGCCTGGGCATAATCCCACATTAAATAAAGAATATTGCTGGGATTTACGAAAGGCATGCTTTCTGAATAGCGGATCGTGTCAGTAGCTAATCCCTATCACGAAACAAGCTGGTGCTTCCACCAAAAGCAGGGCTGCAGCTGTGCTCCACTAGGCCTGGAAGTCAAGGGGCTCACACCATTAAATGCAAGAACTTCGTCAACGTTTTAGGCAGAGGGAGCAATCGCGGGATGAGCTGCAATCATGCTATAGGAGTTAACATTCTGGCCTGCCAAGTCATCCTCATTTGTTTAGTTAGAAATCTCTCCATATGTTGAATACATTAGGAAATGTGTTGCACGTTGCTATATCACTGGCTCATCCCCAGAGTTTCCATAATAGAAATAAACACACAGATGACATGCACCCTTTCCCTCTTCTCATTCTAAGCATGCCTTTATTTGCTTTACAGTTAAAAGTCTCCTGATTTCATTTTAATCTTTCGACACAACCAACGGGGCTGCGATCCTATTGCACTTCCCCATTGAGCAAGTCCCACTGAGCCCAGACACACTTGCCACAGAGGAAGCATGAGCCCTGTGTCCCACTGAACTCTATGACACTTACTTCGGGGCATACAGTGCACAGGATTGCACGGTCTGTTTCCACGGAGGCTTTGTTTTCCCATATCAAAACCACTCTGTGCTAAACACCGCTGCCGGCTAAGCATTTCAAGCCTGCTCAGAGTGCAAAAGCGCCCCCTCTATTGGTCTTCTTGCACAATGTACGGAAAATCTTGTCTTGGCAGAAAAACTTTTGACCTATCCAGTATTTTGTTGCAGGCCAGTTTGCTGCAGAAAAAGCAGTATGTGCAACCGGACCATGCTAATGGCTCAAGTCCAGAAATTTGCAGGTGATATACATGCACACCTAGCTCTCCGTTCCAGTTGCTGGCAAATCTGTGTAGTAGTTTACTGAATAGAGGCTACTATGGGGGGATACTCTCAGCGCTTCAAGCTGATTTTCTGCTGGCCAGGAGCAATTCAGACCGCGGGGTCTGGCCGGGTGTTGGGAGCAAGTCCGCAGGAAATTCTGCAGAGCGTTGCCCTTGAGCTGGCCTGGCCTGGAAGCAGCTCTGCTGGCTAAATGGAGCCCATGGCCTTGCCAGTAAGACAAGCACCGATCCTTCTGCCTGCCTGTCTTCAAACACCAGGGAGCAAAATGCCAATGTCTTGATAACAAAGTCAGAAAGCTGGGAAAAGAATCTGTCACAGAAGCCTGGATTTCATCAACCCAAGTCACGGGGAACAGGGAGAAAGGGTCTTTCCCAAGATGGGGAGAAAGTGGGGCTGGGGGGCAGTGGGGTGAGGGGGAAAGAGGAGCCACGAAAGCTCTGTGGAATTCCCTCAGACAAAGAATAGAATAACGCAGATGTAGTTTAGGCAGCGCACAAGGACTCCACCCTTCCACCAAGGTCTGTTTACCGCTCCTTCCCTCTCCCTCAGTCCAGAATGTCCAGTCTCTTCCGCAACGAGCGCATTTCAGTTTAATCTCCACGACTTTTTTGTTGCAGATGAAAATGAAATGAGAACATCAACAACGACAACTTTAGACGGTCTCACCCAGGGAAATCATGCCAAGCCACAAGGTTTATTCCTTAGGGCAGCACAGATACATTTCTGCGTGTGCGTTTCTATCACGTTGCCCACCCTTTCTTCTGTGTTCCCAGAGCAGTGCACAAAAAGCAAAACTCTCCAGCTTTCAGATCTGCTCTGTTTCCTAAACCAATTTTCGATCCCATCTTTCACAACACACACACACACACGGTCCTCGCTGCATCCTGTGCTTGCCGGCCCGCTTTTCACCCTCCCCTCCCCGCGCCGCAATCAAAATATGCAATCGACTTTGGACAGTACAAAGCAAAACTTACCCTCGTCAAAGTCTTCCTCGACTTGCGTCTGTATCGTTCCCAAACGTCCTAAAAAAGCAATAAGAATGACAAACGTTCTTCTGTGGGTCCACGTTGCCATCATGTCTAAATATTAGACATGTATTCCCTCCACTTCTGGAGCAAGAAAAAGTGCAAAACAAAAGTGTTTTAAAAAAATTACTGGAACACCATGAAGCCAGCTCTTTTTCCTGCCAGCATTCCCTCAGGACATTAAATAAGAATAGGAATAATAATTTAAGCAGCTGCTTGCTCCCAGATGCTCGCTCCCTTTTCTTTTCGTAACAGCACTAGATCTTGCGCAGCGGGCAAACAGTTTTTTCCCCCCAAGTGATGCCGCTTTAAATAGGAAGAATGCTGCCTCCACTTCTTTTCCTGCCCCCTTTCAGCTTCTTCAAGCTCATAATCATCCAGTCCCTGGCAAGGAATCGTGTGATTGATGGTAAACAACCGAATCAGGACTAGCTTCACGCTCCCCTCAAACTTTTCTCTTTTTCCCCCCTTTCTCTCTCTCCCTCTCTTTTAACATGCACAGTTTTTGAAAAGAGTTTTTCTTCTGCTGCAGCAGTTCCTGATTCTTCTTTTTCCTGCCTGCTGTTGTTCAGGAAAAGATCTCCTATGTGAAGAATTTATTGGGAGCAGAACAGAGTTGGCTGGGAGCAAATGATTCCCTCTTGGAAGCTGGGAAGGGGACGGATGCAAAAACGCTCTTTATATAGTCAGGAGTGAGGGAAGGGGAGCCCACCCCACACCCACTCCAAACCCCTGGGAGGAGGTTTCCCTCTTCACTGTTAATATCTGCCTGGGAGCTTAACTCTTCCCATGCTCTTGCACTTGCTGCATTCTCTAAGGGGTCTGGCAAATAGTTCTCCAGATGTTTTGGACTGCAACTAGCCCCAGCCAGCATGCCCAATGGTGAGGGACTGTGGAAGGTGAAAACATCTGGAAGGCATCAGGTTACCTACCCCTGGTGGGCAGAAAGTCACTGCCAGGTGCTTTGAGCTTCAACTTCCTGACCATTCCTGACCAGAGGTGCCCAGGAGTTACAAACTCAAACATTTGGTGACCTGCCTTTTGCCATGGGACCTCATATGGAAGGGTGGAATACATATATTACAGTTGTACACCATCTTGCATTATCAAATCCTAGGGCAATGTACAACGAGCATTAAAACAACAATTAAAGACGACGGTTAAAACTGTAACAAGGACTATCTGTGGAACTATTAAAATCAGCAAATAACACATTATAGAAACACATGTTCAGCAGGTGCATCAACACTATCAAGGGCGATGCCTGTCACACTGCAGCAGGGGGAAAGTTCCAAAGGCCGGGGGCCATAACAGGAAAGGCCCTGCTTCTGGTTGATGCCAGATCTACTTGCACAGGAGAATGTTGGGAGGCCCTGATCTGTGCATCTCAGCAAATGGGCAGGTTTCTATGGGAGAAGGCATTCCCTCATGAAGCCTGTCCCCAGTTCTCCAGTGGCATCCTTGCTGCTGAGCTTCTACCTGTCCACTGGGCTCATCCTGGCCTGCTCAGAAGTCTCTGTGTGGAAAAAAAACCAAGCAACCCCAACTGGCTGATGCTGCCTGATGTCCTAGATCCCTCATTTTCTCCTCCCCCTCAGCAGTTTTTAATGAGCATCACTATATTAGGGTAGAGCAGCAAATGAGAAACTGCAGCAATGCCTTTCTGCCTGGCCAGCTGCCTTCGCTCAGCATCTGAACAAGCAAATTATCCTGCTTTTCATCTGCTGCTTTGAAAACATGTTTAATTAGTCCATACCAATAGCCTTTTGTGTCTATTTGCCGGCCCTGCTCAAGCTGTGACCACAGAGCTCTGGCTGCAGGTTTGAGGAAGCCCTTGGCAACATCCCCACTCAAGGGTCCCTCTGGCATGCTCTGAGCAGTGCTAGGTGACTCAGAGTTGCCATTTTAATTTCCTGCTGTTGAAAATCTAAAGTCTAAGACACAGCCACTTGATGCAGATTAGAGTACCAGAACAAATTATTTTAAAGGAGAGTGCCAGGTCAGTGTTGATGGTGATCAGTGGAACTCTGTTGGTTGTCCAAGGAAGCTACATTCCCATGCCAAGTGGGCAGAGACTCACACGGTCTGCCCAAGTTACACTCCAATTAGCAAAAGCTTCTCTGGTCTTATTCTTCTCTGCTTCTGATAGTTTTAATGCCAATCAGTTTATTACTTCTGACCTTTGCATCTATCCACCCCAACTTCCAGATCTCCAGTTACATCATTCAAGCTGCTACACAATGGGAACCTATTCAAAATGGGGCTTCACAATCCATCACCAGGAATCAGGAAATGCATTAGTGTTATATACATACTTATAACCCTTTCAAATTTGTTCCTTCAGTTTCTTCATCCTTTGTCATCCCTGTCACCATGACTGCTGGATACCTACAAATCAAACATGAAAACAAGGTTCCTCAGAGTTTTAGCAAGTCTTGGAGAAACAAGCATATCACCATGTATTGTACACATGTGTACTAGAGCTCAGCCAAATGACAGTATGCCACTTAATATGATAAGGTTGCTCTACACATGTATAGGGGAAGTGTTTGATTGCCTTATTAGCTGACTGCATACAGTGCAAACTTACGGAAACTTGCCAGACTTTCCTAAACTTCGTGCATGCATAGTTCCCCATAAGCTTAACTTCATGGTAAATAAATTATAATATGAAAATGGGACTCTTTGGTACTTCTGCAAGTTCCAGCCCCAGCCTATTCAGTTTTCCAATTGCCTTTGCTATTTATTCAGATTTCTCATGATAGAAGTTTAGGTGAATTTTGGCATTTTATTGTGTATGCAGCATGGAGTATCAAGGAAAGAAAAGATATGGAGTCTTGCTAGTGTGCTTAATACATAGCATTAGAAATGTTATAACTAATGGAAAATAAATTCCCATTTATACTTGGTAAATGAGAATTGGAATGTTAAATACTCTGAAGGAAGAAGCCAGGAGCTAAGTCCAAAGCTGATAAAAAGATGTTCCTTTCTTTGGATGCATGTAGAACATCATTGTTCTTAATATATTTCAGTGTTTTTACATTTATTTGTTAATTTATTAGATTTATATCCCACTTTTCTCTTACGCTGAACTCAAGGCAGCTTACATCATGCTTCTCCTCCACCTTATCCCCACAACAACAACCCTGTGAGGTAGGATGGGCTGAGAGTCAGTGGCCCAAAGTCACCCCGTTGGCCCCATGGCTGAGCAGGGACTAGAACCCAGATCACTTGAGTCCTAGTCCCATGCTCTTAACCACTATACCACACTGGCTCTTACAGGATGCCCTTGAAAGCTTATGAGTGAGAAGACCTTGAAAGCTTGCCTATTAGTGCTGACCCTGCCCTATAATTCAGAGTTGCAGGGAGATGTTGGGTACATTTGAGGGCAAGCAAATGTAAGAACCCGGATTCCCTCCAGACCTTTTGAACTGCAACTCTCCTCATTCCTGGTGCTGGCTACGGCTGATGGGAGTGGTAGTCCAAAACATCTGGAGTGCACCAGGTTATCTACACCTGAGCTACCCCTGTCATTCCGCATGAATCAAGAGTATGCCCTAGGATAAATACAAAATTGCTCTGCAATTAGTTGGAACTCCATGTTAGATGCTCGAAGGGATGGGGTGACTCGGTAGCCAAATGCCTAAGGAAGGTATTACTTGAGGTGGTCATTTTGGAAATCTCTGTTGTATTTTACTGGAATGATGGTGCTGCCTGGGAATCAAGTTAGTGGAACAGGCACCAGCCCAAGAAGATCTTTGGAAATGAGTGCAAGGTAAAATCCTACTAGAGCCAGTGGCAAATTGCCTGATACTTTGAATGGCTGCAGTGTTCATCAGATGCTTAGCTTGACCCACAGCACTTAGAGCACTCCAGGGCTCTGATTCTATCGCTTGTCTAATAATAATAACAATACTAGAAGATGGTTAACCAATCAGATGTTGCCTTCATAATTCCTTTGGCATTTTCCCCAGCTTTAGTATTTCCACACACATTTCAATTACTATTTCACGAGTATTCCTGTTAAACTATATAGGATTTCCCCCCTTGTAAAACAAACCACAACTTGATTTAGCATTTTACTACCAGCAGATGCAAAATGTGCCCTGATAAACTGCACTGACACAAGAATTCTTTAAAGATCTGGGTTACGCCCACACTTTCAGATGCTGCACAGAAGCCTTCATTTTTTAAGTTGAATTCAACTTGAATTCGTTGAATTCAAAAGGAGTTTGGCACATACAGAGTTCAGTTCTCACTCAAGTGTATGAGAGTCTTCATAGAAAAATAATGCATTGTTTCTGGACTGGCCACCATCCAGATCAGAGGATATTGTCTTTCTTTGCTAATGCTTCTTTCCAGCGCAGAAGGGAGGGAAGGTTTGCCCTGTGTCAGAGGTATTCCATCTTTTCCCCCTAAGAATCCCATTTCCACGCAGCTCTTGGTGTCCACATCTCAGCGTGAGACTGAGTGAAAAAAAGAGGCAGGGCCAAAGATACCAGTATATTTTAGCGTAATGTGTTTGATGCCAATAACTAAACCTTATACAAGACATTTCAAGCTTTTAGAATGGAGAGAGAGCTGCACAAAAGCCACCAACCAGTTGGTGGTTAGGAGAAAACTAGGCGAGGACCATCTGGAGACCCTGGAAGAAGCCGGTGGGAGTAGACCAGACCACGGGGCCTGAGGATCCACACCCTACCATTGTGTACTAAAGACTGAGAGGAAAAATATGATCAATATTGGCTCAGTGATCAATATGAAGTATCACCTTGGGACATTTTCTTATTTGCTGCCGAGTAACGACCATGAGCCCTAATCCTAAACCTGCAGAGGATGGCAGCCAAAAAGCTGTTGGGGCAGTTGAATTTTTTGCCTTAATCCCTGCAAAACCTGGTTGAAATATTGCAGGAATTCTACAGGAAGATTTTTCCTGAGCAAAAGAGTGATTGTTGTGATTGTTGTGTTTCTACTGTTGCATATATACGTTTAATTGAATTTATTGTTTGTTTTGTTCCATTTTGTTAGGTTATGAATTTTCAGACACTTGTAGAAGGCAAAATATATACAGATACTCGCTTAGGAGAAAAGCCATCATTTGTCCAATTCTGCCTAACAGCTTGCCATATCTCCACTCAGTGTTTCTGTGAGCTGGTTCACACGTGCATACATACAAACTGGTTATCCAACACCAGATAACTTGCAGTTTCATTGACAACCATTGTGTTTGAAAGCTCATTAGGTGAGATAGACTATTTTGCCTGTAGGATTAGATATATGGCAATTCACCAACACATGCAGCTCTTCCCTTGATGCTGTAGTCTCGGCATCACCATTCAGTTTGGTGTGAATGAGCTCTTTGATAAAACAGGAGCCAGAATTTCTATGCTTCGTCCCTCATTTGGATCACCCTAACTGGATTAGCACAATGAAAAATAGCTCAACTGTACAAAACTTGAAGTACTTCACAGGTCTCAGATTCTTCTACATCTCGT